CTTGGTCGCCCTCGTTTCACTACACATTACCTTTGTTATTTCAAGGGTAGTTGTTTCTGAAAAGGAAAACCCCAACTTTGCGGACACCCTGTATTTTCACTTATTCCTATTCCATAAAAGGTAAACCTACAGTATTTTTTTTTACTATGAGTTCTACAAGAAACGAGCAAGTTTATATGCTTTTAATATTTTGTGAATACAGAAAAAAACTAGAAATGCTTGTACGTTGTACGCTCAGCGATATCCTAATAGAAGACATCCAAGTTATTTATACTTTTTCAAGTTAGAGGCAAAGTTTAGAACTGAGGATTTCATTGTGGTGATGAAGAGATCTCTTTCGTAGTAAGTGAAGCAGCGGAGATAAATATTTGGGCATATGCTCACTTTGACCCAATGGTATCTATTAGGCAACTGAAACGAGCAACAAACGTAATTCGTGCTCAACTTCAAGAATATAGAAATTCTCATTATTATATTTTGTGGTCTGATGAATCGCGTTTCGCAAATCTTGGGTTACTTGATAAAAACAATACACATTACTGGGCAAGTGAAAATCCACGATTGATGAGAGAAGCGGCCTTTCAGGACCGTTTTGGAGTGAACGTGTGGCTCGGAGTTCTGGGAGCCCGTATAGATTTTCTTGATGGTTTGCACCTGGCTGGTAATACTGATGTTGTATTTTGCCCGACCACAACAGCAGAGAAGTTACAAGATACTTAACGGATAAATTCGGGAATCGTTGGCTAGGAACAAACGGGCCTATTAGGGGGCCCACACGATCACCCGACCTAACCATTGTAGACTTTTTCATTTGGGCCTACTTGAAGGAGGTTTATGTCACACGTCCTATAAATCTGTTTAGCGAATAACCGCAGCAATTAACATTTTATCTGAAGATTTTCTAAACAATGGATGTGCAGAAACCATAAGAAGGGTCAATAAATGCTACGAAAATAATGGAAGGCGCATTGAACTGTATTAGCTGTAATATGAATGTTTAGTAGTTTTTATTTCTTAATTTCATAATATTTTTCTATAACTATAATATTTGGGCAAATTAGGGAGAATAGGAGTAATCAAAGGGAATTATTTTGATAGTCTTGTTATTATAAAATAGTAAATAAAAACATTTTTTATTACTTGTCTGAAATTATAGTTTTTGATCACATCGCCACCTTGACAGCTTAAACTATTTGTTTGTCTTCTAAGCAATGTGACAGATTTTAGGTTATTCACGAATACCTTTATAGCGCCGGCATTTTAAAACGAAAATGTCACATCGTTGGAAAGGGAATTTTGCATATAGTTCGATTATGGAAAAAACAGATTTCCATTTGAAAAACGACAGTCACTCACTTCCGGTTAAACCGGAAGGGAGAGATCACCTATTTAACTTTCCAGAAATGCCTCTTAATGACTAACTAAACATGTCTCATTCTCGGAGCGATATCTTTATTTGCCAAAAAACCGGTATACAGTGCTTTTCTTTAATGCCCCCCTCCCCTTGGATTTCTTGAACGGATCAATTCAAAAAATTAAAACTTGAGGTAATGAAATTGATGCGTGGATACCATATTGTAGAGTAGAATTCACAGATGAAAATGTCAAGATGGCCGCTGGCCGCCGTCTTAAAAAAAATTATATGAAAACAGGGGTCTTGTGGCACATCATTTTGAAGCTCCTGACGAGTACTTTATAACCCTAGAATATAAAGTCAATACCTTTACCTACTACAAAATGGTGGTACATTTAATAATCACTTGAACACAAACCCACTAACATGCTTATCTCTAAAAATAATTGTAATTCCCTGCCGTATGCACAGCAACAGCGATAAAAACTTGTTTTGTTATTTTTTGTTGACAGTGACAATAATATCAGTACGAAAACAAACATCATTGTACAGTTAAAATATTCTTATTAAGTTTTAGTGCTAGATACTGTTTGAACTATTTTAATTCTCGTCCATTGGAAGAAAAAAACGAAGCGATTTTTTTTATGGTGCGACACGTAACTTTCACGAGACCGAAAGGATTTTTAATGATCGTTTCCCGAATCGTCCTATCTGTAGAAAATATTTAAGGGAACTTGTATCTAAATTTACAGCTACTGGTAGTGTAAACAACAAAAAGCCCCCAGGTCATCCGACCATCCCGGAAGTAAATCAAGTTCAAATAATTGGTGAGATTATAGTAAATCCCCAACAGTCTACTTCCTCCATCGCGAATGTATGTGAGGTTTGTCCTTCTACTGTATAGAGACTTTCGAAAAAGAATAAGTATTACCCATTCAAAATTCAGCTAACTGAAGTTGACCCTGATCGAAGAACAAAATTTTGCGAGACTATGATGGAAACCATTGCACGGCATCCTATATATATCCAAAATATTTGTTTTAGTGATGAATGTACATTTTTTCTCAACGGTACGAGCCCCTTCCCACTTCAGTTGGTCAACTTCAAGATTTGTACCAAAATATGCCTTTATAAACTAAACATGACGAAACTATTTACTTCTAAAACAATTTATTTTCTCAAAAACATTTTAGATACACTCTAGTCGTAAAAAATACATATTTGAAATCACTTAGACCTATAACTAATAGAACATCTGAACAAATAAACAATGTGCGAATAAATGCGCGAAGTTAACAAAGTAACCATTGGATAACATCACCTTTATTTTTTATTACGACTGAAATTCTTTGGGGCATAGTGTTAACCAAGTTTTGGCAAAAATTTGGTGTAAAACAATCCCATATTTCTCGAAGCTTTTGTCTCAGTTCGGTGATTGTACTAGCAGGATGTTGTCGTAGAACCTTTTTCATCTCGTGCCACAAAGTTTCAATAGGTGACAGATCTGGACTGCTAGAAACCCATTTCAAAAGTGGTACATTATTTTCTTCCATCCATGTTATAGCCTTTTTTGAGGTATGGCACGCTGCACCATCTTGCTGAAACACAAAATCTTGGCCGGATGTCAAACATTCTTCCATCACTGGTAAAAGCAATTCTTCTAAAATTGCCAAATATTTGTTTGTATCCACACTTCCATCAATAAAATGAAGTTTTCCTACTCCTTTTGATGACATACTGCCCCAGAATGGAAGCTGGAAATTTCACTTTTCTCTTCAGACAGTCAACATGGAATGCTTCATTTTTTTGCGAATAACTCTACTGCGACTGTCACCAACACAAACTTCGGAGCGAGCGTCATCACTCCATTGTATTGCACACCATTGTTGAGGTGTCCATTGTCTATGTTCTTTAGCCCATCTAAGCCGATTTTTCTTTTGCAGTGGAGTTAATAGTGGCTTTAAACAAGTTGTGCAACTTTAGGGTTTTTACTTCACTTTTTTTATAACTTACCTTGCAGGTGCTAAATCCCAGTTTGTGGGCCTCTCTATGAGTTGTGGACCTCGAAATTCTCCTTCCAACAGCGTCATTCCACAGAACACTTAATTGTAAATAATTGACACGCCTGTTTTTCACGATTATTCTTCTTAATGCTCTTCTGTCGGCATTTGTGATATTACTTTTTTTCACATATCGTGGCTTAATATTAACTGAACCAGTTACGTTATATCTTCTAACAATATTTCTCACACTGTACTGCGATAAGTCTAACAAAGTTGCAATTTCTGAGTTTGATTTCCCAGACTTAAAAAATTTAATTATCAGTAACCGAATTTTCTCACTAATAACCTTTCCTCTACCTATTTTGAAAACCTTAACTACCCAAAACTATTTTAAACGTATTGTCATGGCTTTTATTTTTCACAGCCACCTATGCGTTATAGACTTATTTTGCATTGAAATGAAAATAGATTGCTATGCTGTAATTGCAACATGTGTTATTTTTATGCTGCAAATTTGACTAGGAAGTGATAAAGTTGGTGTTTTCTACTATATATTATCAAAATATTCATTGTTAATATTTTAAACCTATAACACCCTGCTACATTTTTATCATTTGTGTTTGATAAGAAAAAACTAAGATTTCAATAGTTGGGCCAACTGAAGTGGGAAGGAGCTCGTAATGTGCATAGACAAATTGTCGTTTTAGGAATGACACGAATCCTCACGTCTTCGGGGAAACTCATACTCAATATCCACAAAAAAATAACGTTTGATATGCTGGAAAATACTATTGACCCTCTAATCACCGAAATCGTCGAAGCAAATCCTAATGAATTCGATACTGATATTGTATTGCGGCAAGATGGTGCTCCACCACTCTACTACAGACAAGTTAGGAATTATTTTGATAACAATTTCCCCGGTCGATGGATTGGCCGTCGAGGTTCTGTGGAATGGCCAGCTCGCTCGCCAGATTTGACACCTTTAGACTTTTTTTATGGGGCTATTTGAAGCAAAAGGTGTACGAAACTGAATCTGCTTCAGTATTGGATATACAGCTGAGAATAACAAATATTTGTAGAATTATCGATGTCACTATGTTTGAAGATGTTCGACGCGAAATTACGGACCGGCTGTTATTGTGTCAAGAAGTTCAAGGCAATCATTTCCAGCATCTTCTAAACTGAACTCAACGTGTTTATTCGAATTATCTAGTTAAATTTCAATGTATTCAGGTAATTATTAAATGTACCACCATTTTGTAGTAGGTAAAGTTATTGACTTTATATTCTAGGGTTATAAACTACTCTTCAGGAGCTTCAAAATGATGTACCACAAGACCCCCATATAATTTAGTTTCCAAGATGGCGCCCAGCGGCCATCTTGACATTTTAATCTGTCAATTTTACTCTAAAATATGGTATCCCCGCATCAATTTCTTTACCTCAAGTTTTAATTTTTTGAATTCATCCGTTCAAAAAATCAAAGGGGCGGGGGACATTGAAGAAAAGCACTGTATACGTAGGTTAATCTTGTTCGGTTTAATGCTTTATGTAAAGATATTGTAATCTGTCACATAAAGATATTGTTTTTTATGTAATGGAAAACGGTAAATAAATAAATATATTCTTTTATTGCTTAGGTTGTATCCGGAGGTGTAGCATGTAACAACTTTATAGCCGAAGGGCTCAGAATGGTGTGTGATGAACTAGGCTATAGAATGGTCAGACCACCTCCCAAATTATGTACAGACAATGGTGTGATGATTGCCTGGAATGGTGTAGAAAAGTAAGTGGTTTCGAAGTGTTATTGAGATATTAGGTTTTTTACACTAGTCTAATCATAGCAAATTTCCCCGAAATAATTGTAAAGTTTGGTTTTATTGATGCAAGTTGTTCAAGAGGGTATCCAGAACATGGACCCATAAAATGGGTACACTGATTTTTGTGGGAAAACCTTTTATTCGACAAGCAAAGAATGAGAAAACGTGTTTTTTGGGATTCAATCGAAAGTGTTGACAAAAACGAAAAAACTCTCCAAAGCACATTTTTAGGTATTTACGAGACATATAAAATGAGACCATACGCAAAGATTTGACTAATAACAAACAAGTTATGGCCGAAAACCTAGGCAAACTGCAGGCTTTGGCGCTTGTTGGTAATGCGACGATGGTTTATCACCCATACATGAAATTTTTCAAATTCGTAGGCTTCATACTTTTCAATAACCACAACAAAGTTGAAGTAGATTGGTCAAGTAGTTCTTGAGAATTTCTAATTGTATATTCAAAAACACCTGGTTTCCGGCCATCACTACTAGCTTGGTGAATACAGGGTTCGTTCAAAGATCATTTTATATCATGGTATGGTAATTAGCTAATGAGATGTATCCAGAAAAACCCCTCACTTCGGCAACCCCTCAATCCGGCATTTTGAAATTTGGAGTGCTGAATTTTGTATCAAAAAAACTTACACACCCTTATCTTAATTGTTACTTTTTCGAATTTTCATTTTTGCTCATACATGGTGGTCAAAAACCCGAATTGTACTTTTTCTCAAAAATTTAAAATGCATCAACCTGTATGTTTGTGCAAGTTTGGATTAAATTTTTTATAAGCTTTTTCTTGATATAAGGTTTGATTCAGATAAAATCACTAGATTTTGAGTTATTAAGTTTTTAATAGAACAACACACCAAAATTAAGGAAAAAAATCACATCATCCATGGAAACAAAAGACAAACAGTGGGCTAGTTCCATATTGCCACTAAGAGTACAGTTTTGACGTGAAAACTAATAACGATCAGAACAGTATAAATCATCTTAATAGAAACAAACAACTATAACAACATAAACAAACAACTATCACTACCCAAGACCTAATCTACAAGAACTGCTTGAAAATATCTCCACCCTGTTTAATACACAGCCATAGTCTTTCGATAAATGACCGTTGCACATCCCTCAGCATGTGTTCCCTTATGTTCAGAAAAGTATCCTTAATCCTTTCCTTCATATTTTCCGGGGTAGATGGTGGATATCTATAAACCTCTTGCTTAACGTAGCCCCATAGAAAGAAGTCTATCGGTGTCATATCTGGTGATCTAGGAGGCCAAGAATATTCCCATCACAACCGATCCAACGATTGTTACTCCAGGTGTCCAAATAGTTACGCACACGATTATGATAATGCGCAGGTGCGCCGTCATGTTGGAAGTACATATGCATCCGAGTTTGCAGGTTGACATCCTCCAAAATCAAAGGCAAATGCTGCTAATAAAAAATTCAAGTATTCTGTACCTGTTAATCCTGTTGTCGAAAAATAAAGGCCCGATAACTTGTCTGCCAATAACTCCTCCCCAAACATTCAAGCACCATTTATTTTGAAAATCTATTTGCCTAACCCAGTAAGGGTTTTCCGTCGCATAATAGTGCATGTTATGCCTGTTGACAACACCTATGCTGTTAAAAGTTGCCTCATCGCTAAAAAGAACCTTATCCAGGAAAGTAGTGTCTTCACTCACTTTATTTAGCATTGTTCTACTAAACTCCATTCGAGCTGCGAAATCCTGAGTACGAAGGCCTTGATGCAAGCATAGGTGATATGGATGATACCTATCTATGCTTGTGAATAATTCTTTGGACAGAAGTTCTGCATATATCAGTTTCTGCTTCAATTTGCCGTGCACTTAAATGGGGATTTTCCTGCAACTTTAATAGAACCTCCAACTGATTCGCCTCATTGGTAACACTTGGATTATTTATACATTTTTTACTATATTCCACTGCTCCACTTGACTCAAAACGTTCTCGAGGTGTGGAAAATGTTTCCGGCCTTGGATGTCGCATATTAGGGTACCGTTGGTTATAAATGCGAGATGCTAGGAAACTATTTCTTTGGGCTTCACCCAAAACGAACACCATATTCACAATTTCTTCTATAGAAAAATCATTTTCAAACACGTTTTTATTATAATACTCACAAAGCTAATTTTGACAGTTTGTAACTAATCAACAATTTATTTGTTTCCACGGATGATGCGATATTTTAGGGAATTAAGCTGTTCCATAAAAGACGTGCTAATAACCGAAAAAATAGCAGTAAAAACCCTTATGTGTCTAGTATCAAAAAAAGCTTATAAAGTCCACCCTGTACGAACAAAATTAAAATTCGAAAAAGTAACAAATAATAATATAAAAGCTGAGGTGTGTAAGTTATTTTTGATACAAAATTCAGCACTCCAAATTGCTGGATAAAACACCTTACATCTCAGTAGCTAATTACCAAAACCCCATAGTATTTCATATCAATCTTCTTCTTTTGAATTGGTTTATCCAAATACGCAATAAAATTTGAGGCATTCCATTTAAAAAATCACAACTTTGATGTGTAGGTCAAAATTGGGACACCCTGTATAATGGCCAATATTTTAGAAATGTGCCGTCAAATGTCATGTATAACATGCCATTAAAAGATTTTCCCAAAATGTATTTGTTTATGAGTAATATTCCGTACATACATGGATGGGCCACCCTGTATTGTTATACACATTTTAAAACAAAGCGGATGTGTCTATCACCTTTTTTGCGAAGAAAAAAATTGTTTTCAAGATATATATATATATATATATATATATATATATTTAGAGGTGAAGTTTTTATACGCATACAGATGAGCCTTACAGTTTATAAAAAAATTACGTCATACTGAAATGCAATGAACTATTTATAAAGTTAGCACGCAAACTGAAGACACAACTTACAAACTGTCTTAGGCTATTTGGTATGCTGCATGTGCTAAATGGTTACATTATTGATGACTGCATGACTTTGTCAAATAAGTAGGTCACGTGATCCTGTTTCTTTACGAAGAAATATAATTCCCAGGACCTTTTTTAAAAGTATTAATATAGTATACGTTTGATTTCGAAATCTCGTTCGAATAAAACGATTGCGAGTTCAAAATATTGGAAAATAAACTTGAATAAAATAAAAAACAATAGATAAATATCAACCGATTGAAGCGACCGTCTGAAAAAATTGGCAAAATTCTCGGTATTAGTCCCTAATACGTTATTTAAAGTTTCAGCGTCGTGTTTTGTATAGTTTTCGAGATTGTTCTAATTGTTGATAACGGATTTGATGTGCCGCCAACGTTCGCTTGACATTTGTCAGTGTCAACTATAATGGTATAAAGATTCAGTGAACCAAGAGGCGTCGTAGTGTGTCGTTCTATAAAATTTATGTTCCAGAACCTTGTGTTTTGTTTATTGAATTACCTTTAATTTCTAGATGGAGAGAAAACATAGACATACATACAAATTTTGACCATATCGACATAGAAAAGACTGCACCCTTAGGGACAAGTATAATTGAAGATGTTGAACGAGAGAGGATCAGTTGCAGATGGGTGAAACTGAAGAAACTTACACTTCCGCAAAGTAGTTGGTCGGAAATCGGAAATGTTAATATTGCCAGGAAAGCAGATTACTCGTGAATAGTTAAGACCTCACATGGGAATCTGATATACAGAGCGTTTCAAAAAGGTTCCCTCCAACTTATTTCTTGGGCAAGTCAACAAGTGCTGGAGCGGAGCTGCGGCACGAATTCTATTAGTGGGATGCCGTGATATGTAAAACAAGATTATCTAGGAAACATTTTTAAAATCCAAAGATCCATAAGTCAAACTTGAAAATCTGTAATGAATACAATTATTATTGCTAAATACAGCTTCTCCAAGTTGTGTGTTATACGTCTGTCGTATTTATTTCCAGTCAAATGAAGCGTGCCGACACAGGCTTAAAAGCTTATAAATTGGAAACATCCTTGCTACGAGCCGACACGTCCAATGACAATGAAATTTGTATCTTTATATTTTTAATTTTCATAAGACTCATTAAAGAGTATTGGAATATAGTCAGTATGTTAAATGGTGAGGTATATATTAAAAATGAACATACAATGAATATTAAATAAATAAATATAACAGGTCACACACATACATTAAGTAGTATATACCATAAATTTAACAGACGATCCTTTGAGTAATTTTAAGATAAAAATTTCATATAAACATAGGTCCGCAAATTCTTAGTTGTCAAGATACAGGGTGTTAAATTAAAAAAAATGCTGTTTCGTAAACTTCTTAAATATCCTTTACCTAATTTTGTTGTAATTTGGCGGTCGTATTCATAAGATTAAGGAGACAATTTAGCTTTAACTTGATTAAATTTTAAGTCCAGTGGCGTCTCGAGCGGGAGCTGAACGGATATTTGTGACAAAAAAAAACACACCACTGACGTTTGTGCAATTTTTATTATATTCTTTGGATTAAACAAATAGAAATACAACTTTTTTGTCTCTTAATTTTTCCGTATCTTGCTTAGTTTTCGCGAAAAAAGTCTACTTAATGGAATATCCCTGGACCACACAAGAAATATGGAGAAATGTTTCTTTTGGAAATTATCTTTTTTATAATTTTTATTACCAATTATGTAACAAGAACAAATGCAATTAACATCTGGAGTAACAAATTCCACTAAATTAAGTGTTGGAAATGGCCCCCTCCGGCTTCAATACAATCGTCTAGCCGCCTCATTATTGAATTACGCTCTCTCCTCAAAATGCCTGGCGAATTTTTTATTGTCACATGAATTAATGATCCTATTCCATAATTCCTTCTCACTTTCAATATGAGTGTTGTATACTAACCCTTCAAGGTCTCAAAGAAAAAAATCTAAGAGATTCATATCGGGAGAGCGAGGGGTCCATAGGTGAGGGCCTTCTCCCTATCCAAAAACTGCCGCGCCACTACACCAAAGGTGGTGCATGTACAAAGATTAGCCATCCAACTTGCACATCCCTCTTGCATCTACTGGCCTTCAAAAATACCGAATTGCAACGTAGTATTAGCACCGAAGACGGTCTAAAAAGCATGATTGATTCTGGAAGGTAATGTCCGAGCAATAAATTATAGATAAAAGGTACCGCATTCTATAGATGCGCGTGGCTTGGTTGTCTCCAGGTGGCGGTGGGCTATTGCTGTTGATCAGGTGTAGGCTTAATTCAATTCCCAATATGGTGTGATTTTCAAAGCAGATTACATCTTTATTTGTAATATATCTCCAGGCTTGTCAAAAGCAAAATATTGCTTTCAAATTTTTGGGAGAAGCAGGTTATTTGATTAATTCTGATATGGTAGGTTAGATGTTTGGTATTGAATAGACAAGCCGTAAGTGCTAGGCTACCGAACATAGTTACGTTTGGAAACTGAACATTCTCGTATAAAATATAAATATGAAAAACGTTTAGTTTACGAAATTAGCGCTGGCTATTTATCCTCCTTGTAACCAATTTCATTAGCTCTGAAAAGTATTTCACCAGTATTTATTTTAACCACTTTCTGTGTCTATACAAAACTGCATTCTGGTCTACATGCTTCTTACTTTGTAGACATACTGGTAGGTTCAGCCACTTTAGACAGAAACCAAATATATAGAATTTTTGCTTTTCCAGAAATCCTCCCAATGCTAATACAAACAATTATGATCAGTTATGATTTGTTAATTTTATTCATGTGTGACTTCCTAGCTTAGTCCGATGACGGAAATTTGAAATGTGCCCATAAAAATGATTTGTAGGAGCCACTGTTGTGGTTGATTTCGCGATAGTAATTGTTTCCTGTAGATTGAGATATTGCTTAACCAGTGGTCTTATCCAGGAAAAGATCTGGGGGGAGGCTCAAGATCCAGGGTGACACGAAAATTCCGTCTCGGGGCGGGGAGGGGTGTCTTGGAGACATAAAACTGCATAGCAGAGGGGGGGACTCGTTTAGTCCAGGTAGCTACACTTCACAGAAGGTATAACATGCAGTAATATGTAGACTAGCGCAGTTGCTGGCACGCTAACGCTATGCAAAATATTGCACGTTGATGTCTTTATTTAAAACCTCACGTAGCGCAGTTGCTGGTATGCTAATGCAATGCTAGCGATAACTTTATCCCTATCTCTAATCATTTTTTATCCTTTGGCATCTTTGATCTGGTATCTGGTATCAGGTATCTGGTATCTGGTATTTGGTATCTGGTGTCTGGTATCTGGTATCTGGTATCCGGTGTCTGGTATCTGATGTCTGGTATCTGGTATCTGGTGTCTGGTATCTGGTATCTGTTATCTCTTTATCTGGTATCTGGTATCAGGTATCTGGTATCTGGTATCTGGTATTTGGTATCTGGTGTCTGGTATCTGGTATCTGGTATCCGATGTCTGGTATCTGGTATCTGATGTCTGGTATCTGGTATCTAGTGTCTGGTGTCTGGTATCTGGTGTCTGGTATCTGGTATCTGGTGTCTGGTGTGTGGTATCTGGTATCTGGAATCTGGTATTTGGTATCTGTTATCTCTTTATCTGGTATCTGGTGTCTGGTATCTGATATCTGGTGTCTGGTATCTGGTATCTGGTGTGTGGTATCTGGTATCTGGTGTCTGGTGTCTGGGATCTGGTGTCTGGGATCTGGTGTCTGGTGTCTGGTGTCTGTTGTCTGGTGTCTGGTATCTGGTGTCTGATGTCTGGTGTTTGGTATCTGGTATCTGGTGTCTGGTATCAGGTATCTGGTATCTGGTATCTGGTGTCTAGTATCTGGTGTCTGGTATCTGGTGTCTCGTATCTAGTGTCTGGTGTCTGGTATCTGGTGTCTGGTATCAGGTATCTGGTATCTGGTACTTGGTATTTGGTATCTGATATCTGGTGTCTGGTATCCGGTGTCTGGTTTCTGGTATCTGGTATCTGGTATCTGGTGTCTGGTATCTGGTATCTGGTGTCTGGTATCTGGTGTCTGGTATCTGGTATCTCGTATGTGGTGTCTGGTATCTGGTGTCTGGTATCTGGTATTTGGTATTTGGTATCTGTTATCTCTTTATTTGGTATCTGGTATCTCGTTTCTGGTATCTGCTATCTGGTGTCTGGTATCTGGTGTCTGGTGTCTGGTATCTGGTATCTGGTGCCTGGTGTCTGGTGTCTGGTATCCAGTATCTGGTGTCTGGTGTCTGGTATCTGGTATCTGGTATGTGGATCTGGTATCTGGTATCTGGTGTCTAGTATCTGGTATCTGATATCTGATATCTGATATCTGGTGTCTGGTGTCTGGTATCTGGTATCTGGTGTCTGGTATCTGGTGTCTGGTATCTGGTGTCTGGTATCTGGTATCTGGTATCTGGTGTCTGGTATCTGGTATCTGGTATCTCGTATGTGGTGTCTGGTATCTGGTGTGTGGTATCTGGTATCTGGTATTTGGTATCTGTTATCTTTTTATCTGGTATCTGGTGTCTGGTATCTGGTATCTGTTATCTCTTTATCTGGTATCTGGTATCAGGTATCTGGTATCTGGTATCTGGTATTTGGTATCTGGTGTCTGGTATCTGGTATCTGGTATCCGATGTCTGGTATCTGGTATCTGATGTCTGGTATCTGGTATCTAGTGTCTGGTGTCTGGTCTCTGGTGTCTGGTATCTGGTATCTGGTGTCTGGTGTGTGGTATCTGGTATCTGGAATCTGGTATTTGGTATCTGTTATCTCTTTATCTGGTATCTGGTGTCTGGTATCTGATATCTGGTGTCTGGTATCTGGTATCTGGTGTGTGGTATCTGGTATCTGGTGTCTGGTGTCTGGGATCTGGTGTCTGGGATCTGGTGTCTGGTGTCTGGTGTCTGTTGTCTGGTGTCTGGTATCTGGTGTCTGATGTCTGGTGTTTGGTATCTGGTATCTGGTGTCTGGTATCAGGTATCTGGTATCTGGTATCTGGTGTCTGGTATCTGGTGTCTCGTATCTAGTGTCTGGTGTCTGGTATCTGGTGTCTGGTATCAGGTATCAGGTATCTGGTATCTGGTACTTGGTATTTGGTATCTGATATCTGGTGTCTGGTATCCGGTGTCTGGTTTCTGGTATCTGGTATCTGGTATCTGGTGTCTGGTATCTGGTATCTGGTGTCTGGTATCTGGTGTCTGGTATCTGGTATCTCGTATGTGGTGTCTGGTATCTGGTGTCTGGTATCTGGTATTTGGTATTTGGTATCTGTTATCTCTTTATTTGGTATCTGGTATCTCGTTTCTGGTATCTGCTATCTGGTGTCTGGTATCTGGTGTCTGGTGTCTGGTATCTGGTATCTGGTGCCTGGTGTCTGGTGTCTGGTATCCAGTATCTGGTGTCTGGTGTCTGGTATCTGGTATCTGGTATGTGGATCTGGTATCTGGTATCTGGTGTCTAGTATCTGGTATCTGATATCTGATATCTGGTGTCTGGTGTCTGGTATCTGGTATCTGGTGTCTGGTATCTGGTGTCTGGTATCTGGTGTCTGGTATCTGGTATCTGGTATCTGGTGTCTGGTATCTGGTATCTGGTATCTCGTATGTGGTGTCTGGTATCTGGTGTGTGGTATCTGGTATCTGGTATTTGGTATCTGTTATCTTTTTATCTGGTATCTGGTGTCTGGTATCTGGTATCTCGTTTCTGGTATCTGCTATCTGGTATCTGGTGTCTGGTATCTAGTATCTGGTATCTGGTATCTGGTGTCTGGTGTCTGGTATCTGGTATCTGGTTTCTGTTATCTGGTATCCGGTGTCTAGTATCTGGTATCTAGTATCTGGTATGTGGATCTGGTATCTGGTTTCTGGTATCTGGTATCTGGTGTCTGGTATCTGGTGTCTGGTATCTGGTATCCGGTGTCTGGTAACTGGTGTCTGGTATCTGGTATCTGGTTTCTGGTATCTGGTATCTGGTATCTGGTACCTGTCATCTTTTATAAGTTTTCATTTTTCGTTTTCCGTTTTCCGTTTCCGTTTTCCGTTGTCCGTTGTCCGTTTTCCGTTGTCCGTTTTTCGTTCTTCGTTTTTCGTTTTTGGTTTTTCGTTTTTCATTTTTCATTTTTCGTTTTTCATTTTTCATTCTTCATATTTCATTTTTTATATTTCATTTTTCATTTTTCATTTTGCATTTTTCATTATTCATTCATTTTTCATTTTTTAATGTCGCATGTGTCACCATTAATAGCACACAATGGCATTATAAAATCTTCGATATAGCATTAATGCCCTCTATAAAATTGTATGACAAACTCAGATTTATGTGAGGAACCGGCAACGTCGCATGTGTCACCATAAATAACACACAATGGCATTATAAAATCTTCGATATAGCATTAATGCCCTCTATAAAATTTTATGACAAACTCAGATTTATGTGAGGAGCCGGCAACGTCGCATGTGTCACCATCTATAGCACACAATGGCCTTATAAAATCTTCGATATAGCATTAATGCCCTCTATAAAATTGTATGACAAACTCAGATTTATGTGA